GCTCGCTGCAGCAGGCTGTGTTTGGCCTGGGCTCTAAGCCTCTCCCGTCACCTCTGCCACCGTCAGCACCCTCCCACTGGCTGCGCTGGCCTCCCCGGAGACCTGGCAGCCTGGGCTCCTGCTTCTGCCTAGCGGGGAATGAGCTGATGCTACACGGCCGGTACTGCCTCCCTCCCAGCACCAGCAGGACGAGCCAGTTCTGGCCGAGACACAGACATGAGACAGAGACATGACGGGGGCAGTGGGGACTCTCCCCGGGCAGCGCAGAGCAGAGAGGGGTGCAGGCTGGGCTGGGAAGGGGTGTCCCATGTAGCACTGCAGGGCACTCGCCTCCAGGCCATGAGCACTGCACAGCCCTGAGACGGAGCTGGCCTGGCCTCAGCACGTGCTGTGAGCACATGGAAGTAACATGCCAACGTCCCCTTAAGCCCTAGCGTAGGCGAGGCCCTGAGCTCAGCCGCTGCCTGGGAGCACGGCCAGGCCCCCAGGCTGGCGCAGGCCGCAGAGCCGCCGGTGCCACGTGTGACTGAGCGCGGCACTCGGGGAGCTTCTGTCAGGGTTCCTGGGCTCGGCTCTCATGCTGCCCTCGGCCACAGGCCTCACCCGCCACCAGCTGCTCCCTGCTCCCAGCCAGTCCTCGGCCCCCCTGGGAAATCACCGCCATTCCTCCCCTGTGCGCAGAGCTGCTGCGAGGCAGCTCAGCCGGGGGAGGGGGGGGCTTAGTCCTTCTAGCAAGGCGCTTGGCTGGCCCCCAGCCGCACCAGCAGTGGGATTTTCCCTTTCCTCACCAGGTGGGACAGGTAGCACCTGGGGCGCCGGGCAGATTAGGTGACTTGCCCCAGGTCGTGGAGGTGCGCTGTGTCAGAGCCAGGAATCGATGCCCAGGGCTGCTGACGCCCGTCACCACTAGAGACCCAGGCCACCCTTCTCCCCGGCAGTCTGCCTCCAGCAGCAGCCGACACCCCATCATGCACCTGGCCACTTGGGCCATTCTGCACCTGGGGTGACCAGCTGGCACCCTATAGCAGGAGAGGGCAGTGGCTGCCTTCGCCGGCTCCCTGGCTCCCCCCACCCCAGGTGTTGTTCAGCAAAGCCTGTGCAGAGCCCACTCGGTGTCGCCCCACCCCCGCCCCCGCACAGAGATCGTGAGCTGCCATTGGGCAGCGGGACGCACACCTCCAGGGCACTGGGGCATAGGCAATGTTGATTCAGTCAGCAGGGGCTGGAGAACCCGCCTCCCTCCCATTGCATCAGTGGGAGGTCCCCTCCCATCCCGCTGCCAAGCCAGCAGGGAGGGCAGCCTCCCCCATGGAGCCCCCTGGACAGAACCAGCAACTGGGCTAGTAAACCAGGGACCCCCATTGCCTCCCCCCCCACACCCGCTGCAGACCCTGTGGTCAAGAGCTCAGGGCACAGCCCTGCCAGCCACAACCTGGAGTAGGGGGAGGCTGCACCTGCTCCCGGCTTTGGGACCCACATGGCAGCCCTGAGCCCCTGGGCCCAACTTCAGCGCACTTCCCACCTGCAGCTCCCCAGCTCAGATGCCTGCGAGTGCCACCGAGAGGAGACAGTTCCCCCGGGGCGCCTCATTGCTCCTCTCCCTGCCCCCTCGCCCCGGGACATCCCCTGCATCCTGACAGCGCGTCATGTTCTCCCGCTTACGCCAGGTGCTGCTGGCGTAACCAGCCCTGAGCTAACAGTCACCTCCTGTTCCCGGTGTGTCCCTCCTGACGCTGCTGCAGGGCCAGCACAAAGTCCGTGCTGACATGCCATCTGCCCTCTGCTGGCTGCAGCCCCAGTGGAACCAGAGGGCACAGGTGCAAAGGCCCTTTGCATCACTCCGGCCACGGTCCTGCTGGGGCTGCACCGTGACACGCCTGGGCTGTGACGGGTGGACAGCACAAGCCCTCGCTTCCCCTGGGGGCTGCAAAGGGAGTAGCCCTGGAACCCCGCTGGGCCCCACTGACCCATGATGACGGGCTATTCTCTGTCCAGCGACAGGGCCCAGAGCCCCCCCGTCACTGACCGGGCCCCGCTTGTGCTAGGTGATGTTCACACAGACCCTTCTCTAGCAGCTGGCATGCACCCCTAAAGGCCAGCGGCTCCCGCCATTGGCTCGTCTGCAACAGACGTTTGCTTCATGATGAAAAATCCAATCCAGGCCGGGCTAACGGGGGTTTCTACAGTGGATACTAGCTGCATCCAGGAGGGACCCCCGGAGCCACCTACTCGGACCCCAGCCGCTCACAGAGCCTGACATGCTAACACCTGACACCTGCAGAGAGTGTGTCCTGCCCCATCCCTGCTCAGAGCCTCCCACCAGAGGGGCCTGCCTGGCATCAGGTACTTCGAGGCAGCCTCCCGCTCAGCACCCCAGTGGCGGGATCTGTGGGGGGCACGAGGAACATTCCTGGGCCACGCAGCCCCTGGCCCTGGCCCAGCGTCTCTCTAGCTGGGCCGTTCCAGCACAGTGCGTTTGTGAGCACAGCTGTGACGCAGATGGGGGGAGAGCACCGGGAATCGGTGACCTTCCCTCCCCCTGCCTGCAAAGGCCACACACCTCCCTGCGCAGAGAGAAAACATTCTGTGCTTTCCCCCTGACCCTGGACACGGAGCCTAGGTCCCCCCGCGCAGCGACTGGGGGGGCTGCCCCCCCAGGCTCCTTCAGTCACTTGCCTGGATCTCCCTGGTCCGACAGCCTGTGCAGCACAAGGCGGTGGGGGGTCCCCAGCCCGCCCCTCCCCCTTTGCATGGTTTGGGCAGCGCCTGCCCAGCCCCCAGTGCAGCTCTGCGGGGGAGGCCAGAGCACGGCAGGGAGCTGTGAGCCGGCTGCAGGGACCCCTGCGCCCCAGCCGAGCTGCCTGGTGCTTGTCCCTGGGCTGCAGGGCAGGAGCCTGAAATTGGTTCCTTTGGTGCGGGTCTGGTTTGCTTCTGCCCACACGGGGGTCCTGGCTGCTAGTAGGGAAGGAAGGAGCAGGTGGTTCCCAGCCGGGCTGCAGCACTAACAGGACTCAGCTCTGTGAAGCAGGAGGGGGCAGCCGCTCAGATCCCACCGTCCATCCTGTGGGAATTCCAGCCCTGGCCCAGACACGACCCCGGAAACCTGAGCCCAACCCCAAGCCCAGGGGCAGGCTGCCAGCAGGACCCTGGGCCCAGGGATTGGCTTGCAGACCTGCCAGCAGGCTGCTGGGATCACCTGCACAGAAACCCAATTAGCAAGTGGTGTAGAACTGATGAATGAAATTGTTTTTAATTGTTCACTTTATTAATGTAACTTCATAAGTAAAGTTTTATGAATGAAACAATATTCATTCATAAAACCGGTTACCCCAAAAACCGGCTAATTAACAGTTAAGATGCTTGTTAAGAGCCATAGCTGTTCAGTCAGCTGCCTTTGTAAGTTTCACTATCAATCCAATTCCTGCTTAAATCACGAGACTTGCACTGTTTCAGTATTGGAACTTCTGTTCACTGTTTGCCATATTGTAATTCAAACCCCATTTTAAAACGCTGACTCCATTTTGTAAGGGCTTGCTGCAACCTTCATTTCTGCAAACCCTGCTGTAATCTTCTTAGTTTAGTTTAGATGTGTGAATGAGGGATGTATGGATGATGGAATCAACCTCCAGCCCCAGCCTGTCCTGATTAAATAGAGTTCAAACACCAACAGCTGAAGATGCAGACAAGAGCCCTAACAAAGTAAGAAGAATCCACCCTAAAAAGAAAAGGTACAATAGAAGGAAGATCAAAGCCCGGTCCCAGGCTGAAAGTCATGTCTGCAATTGACGGGTGATCAATCACCAAACCCAGAGGCAGCGTGACACAGGGAGACCTGTAGACTCTGGATTTAAACTAAAGCCTACAAAAAGGATGGGTGAGATGGAAAACTTTGGAGGAGGGTAACATTTT